TTTTGCAACCCATGGAGCTGCCCCCTGCTGGTCATTAGAAAGAATGCAGGTTTAAGACACTGGTTTCACTTCACAGACCTGGAAGCTCTGTCCACTATATATACTGTCAGTGTGCTACATACATAGACAAGACAATTACATTCATAGAATAACATATAGAATAATTTTTTTTACAAGTAACATAAAAGGGAACTATATGTATAATTTCATTATACAACTCTGTGTTGTAAATGACAATAATAACTTTGTTTAAATTAAATGTAACTAACGTTAGACTGTTCTATATAGTGGGGTACGGTAGGTGGCGGTATGCACCTTAAACGCTTAGACGGCACCAAAAAAAAAAGCAAAGAAGAAGAAGCAGAACACGTCAGAACACCGGAAACAAAACAAGTCTGTCATGTGATTTTGCTGCTGCCTCCTGACGAGTATGTAGCTGTTAGATGTGAAGTCAGTTAAATAAGGAATCAAAGAAGGTATGTGAACGAATGTACAGGTTTAAGGTTATTCTGGTTTTATTTATCTGTTACTTTATCATTTGAAAATAAAGTTGCAGTGAGCTTACGCGGCTGGCTGATTACAGGAAGTAACAGTTAGCTCAATAACGCCACTGATCTTACCCATTAGCTAGCATGTTAGCATCCTTCTTTCACTGCAGCACTTCTGTTAACAGACAGGCTCATCGGCGAGGACGGTTAATGGAGCTTGTTTTCTCCCCACAGCTGCCCAGAGGTCTGGATAACACGATACAGCATTAGCCGCCATGGCGGATGTAAGTATGGCCTGTCTGTCTGTCTGTCTGTCTCTCGGTCTCTCCTTCCAGTTAGGAAGTCCGTCAGGAGTCCCTGCCCTTTTCTAGCACGGAGAAAGAAAAAGAAACACCGACTCCCAACCCTGTACTCCCCGCCAAGCTACCCTGAGACGACAATGAGTCAATAAACGACTGCATTAAACGGTTAAATGTCTCCGTGTCTCTGTCAGGGACACTCGTGTAGCAGCTTGTCTAACTCGCTTGTTCTCTGTGGAACATGTTTTTCTTTGCAGGATTTGAAGAGATACCTGTACAAACAGCTCCAGAGGTGTGTATGATGGCAAAGCTACCAGAATGTGTAGTGTCTGAGTAGTTTGTAAAGTCTACAGTCTGTCTGTTCTCCCTCAGTGTTGAAGGTCTTCATGCCATTGTAGTGACGGACAGGGACGGTGTCCCAGTTATCAAAGGTAAGAAACTATTTGAGTCCTGCTGTCCTTTTGTATATTGGCCAGAATATTGTGCTGCTGTCACACCATGGCTGCATGCTCGGGCTGTGAACATGTTGTTGACTTGTTGACTGACATCGGCCTAAATAGGATGGTATTCACAAATATCAGTGGTGGATCTATTGTCGCATCAATTTTGAGCTGGCTAAACGTTGTTGGTTGTTTCCAGCTCAGATATCGGAGAAATCCTCACGTACGTTCTGCAGTGCTCCATGCAGCAGCACAGATCTCACAGCTTGGATTTAAATGGAAATAGCTTGAGCTACAACAACGCAGGGATGCTTATCTTTGTAGATTTCTGTGTTTCCCTGGCACAAAGGGGTAAATAAATAACAACAAAAAAACATTGGATCAGTATCGGCCCAGACTTTCCCAACTGCATCTGCACTACAACCGCAGCAGGGTAACCACAGTGATCCTTGATGTTGTGTTCTTGTTGGGAGCACGGGTGTCTCCCTGGGACTGTGTCACAGTAATCTGATTTGCTTGACATGCTGTGGATTACAGAGAAAGGTTTGTATTTTCAGACATGGAATCAGTTGCTGGCTCCCTATGTCAAAGTTAAACTCTGTGAAAGTGATGCTTTGTCTTGGTTCTGTAAATATTCCACAGAGACTGAATTCTAACAGGACAGAACCGGACAGAACTGGCACCTGGTTTCCCTGAATATCCTCTAATACATTTTATTAATGCTCATACTACAGATGCTTATTAATACTTTTATTGATGTTACTCGCCATAATCCGCTGCAGACATGACATCATTACTTATTTTGCAGAAATACCAAGTGAAATGATTTCCTGAGTTGTTGCATTCAGCAGCATTTTTATTCAATTGAATAAGGTGAGCCAACATATTTCAGCTGATTAGATATTGTTAGATAAATACCAATGGCAGTATCAGTACGGACCAGGCAGGAACCGGTGTCGCTTTAGTACTGGTTCTAAATACCAATGCCTTTTTATTAGTGAGAATAGATTGTTTTTGTTGTCTGTTTCCAGCCTGCAATCCCCAGAATGGTTCAAAATAGCATATGGAGACTCATTTCTAAAGTATAATATCCATCCTGTAAGCAGTTGGCATTAATGAAAGCTGAAAATGTTGGGAGACTGACGGTGGGGTAATTATTAGAGGGTATTTCCGTCTATTGCTTTACACTGTGAGGGTATAAACACATGATCATAGACTGATTTCACATGAGAAATAAATAAGTTACATATGCGTATAATGATTGAAATGAATGGTGTGGGCAGAAAGGAGGAGGAGCAGCTATTCACTGTCTGGAGAGTTGTTGTTAACGTTACCTCTGTGTCCCTGCAGTCGCCAATGACAACGCCCCGGTCCACGCGCTGAGACCCGGCTTCTTGTCCACTTTCGCTCTGGCCACGGATCAGGGCAGCAAGCTGGGCCTCTCCAAGAACAAAAGCATCATCTGCTACTACAACACCTACCAGGTCAGACGCCAGCTTTCCAATACTGTCTGTATATAGAATTAGCTATGATAGATTCAATGAATAATGTAAGCGTTGGACCTTTCCGGTCCGATTCAACCACCTCCGTAATGCTATTATGATGATTGTATATTATTATTTACAGGCTTCTGTGAAAGATAGGATTCTGACAGCTTAAAAACTGATTGGATTTAGTAGTGTTTCTAATTCAGGGTTTCTGCAGGCTTTGTTGGGTATGAGCTCACAGTGACCCTCCGTTGAAAAAGCCCAGTTTTTGTCCTAACATGTCTGCCGTGTCTTTGTGCTGAACAGATTGTGCAGTTCAACCGATTACCGCTGGTCATCAGTTTCATCGCCAGCAGCAACGCCAACACGGGTAAAAAACATCTCCCTTTTACTCAAAGATAATAAAGCACAGGCTCCATGATGGACGAACAGGGATGGGTTCCAATAGCTGGTTCCACTTTGTTTCCGCTGGGTGATTTGTAAAGCTCTGCAGCCAACAAATCCCTTATTAAATCTTTCATTCCCAATCTCCGTTAGTGTTTTTTGGGTCGGTGTACTTTGTGGCCAACAGACAGCTTGTTTCCTAATTTTGGTTTTCTCTATACATTAAATAGGGGAACGAAAAATGGAAAGCAACCAATTTTCCATTTGTTTGGAAAATGAAAAAACAACCCCTTTTCAGTTTTTCTTCATCAGAAGAAAGTTCAGACATTACACTTTATCCTAGTGTTATTTTCCACATATGCCTCCCTCACTTGTTTTAATTAACCGCTGTGCTTGGTGTGTCCTCAGGTCTCATCATGAGTCTGGAGAAGGAGCTGGCTCCTCTAATAGAGGAGCTGAGGCAGGTGGTGGAGGTGACATAAGCTCTAGCTGACTGAGCAGGACCCCCGTCTGGATCACACGCGGTCACTGAAATCTCTCTGTCTCTGATGGTGCATTCAGTCCCGTGGGAAAACCTGTCTGGAGGTTTTTACACTTCCAAGTACTGACCTGAAGTGTAAACATCTTCTGACCTGTTTGAACATTGTTCTACACTTTTTGTTCTTTGCTTTCTGCCATATTCTGTAGAATTTAGGTGCTCCCCATCAGCTAAGACAGTTTATATGTCAAATCAAATGTCATTAAGTCCGAATAAATGTTAATTTTTAGCACCTAAAGTGGTCTCTGTGCTTTTTCATTGTGGTTGTAAATAAAAGTATGTAATCACAATATGATCAGATATCGAATGCAAGTTCATTCAGCCATCAGCTCACGCTCAAGAACTGGAAAATATTGTACTCAATATTAGCTAGAAATCACCCAGCATGCATCCCTGAATTTGCAGCCTTCCATCTCCATGATATCCTGATTGGACACTTCAAGTCTATAATCATCTTTTCATATAAGTGGCTTAAGGCCAGACCCACATTGAGTTTGTATAGAATGTATATCAACAAATTAATTAAATATATTTCTCATACTAATATTTTATTTTCACACGTCTGATGAGCAAGTGTTAAAATCTGTAACAAGAAACCTTTTGATGTATTCGTGCCCATCTCCGGGTATGACATGCAACTACCTTTTCCCAACACAACACTGTACATATTCAAATCCTGTATTAGAAACTAAACAGAGCAAGATTTATGTGTCAAAGTTCCTCAGATTCAGTTGACTCCTGCAGCCACATGGAGCTGTTAAAGGTAACTAATTCCAACCTTAGTTACATTCCACACTTTATCTGAAATTTTGAGACTTCCCTGTCTTTCCCTTTCCCTGTCTGTGGCACAGCAGTGTTCAGTGTTGATAGGCTATAATGGGATGTGTAACCAATCAGATCAATCTGCTGTGGGCAGGATAATGAGTGAGACTACAAACAGAAAGTGCTACATCTAATTTATTAAATTCATTTATTTTATTATAGACAAATTGGAAGAATATTGGATCTGATCATCAGTCTATTCCTAGCCATCGTTAATGTAGTTTATTCTGACTCAGGAAAATACTCCAAAATAAAATAGTCCACAAATTAATTATTTCCTCCTGTTTGTTTCACAATTATGGAAACCTACAGTGACCAGCTGTTATATATGTGAGCTGCTTTTAAAGATTTTCCTCACTAGCAGCGGAGAGCCACAGACAGGGAAAGTACTGAGAGAAGCACCAATGATGCTACAATCCCCTTTAAATAACAGGTAAAGCAAATGTTCATGCTAGGAACAAACATGGTCCTGGAAAGGAAAGCAACTGTTCAACTCGAGAAATAAAACATCTTTGTACTAAATAAATATGAAGCCAAGTGTAGTCACATCTGTGTTGTCACAGCAGTCAGTCCGTGTGTTCCAGTATTCTAAAGTTTACTGTTCAGTTTAGAACGTTGCTGTTCTTCATCGTTCGCCCAGCTGATGTGACGTATTCAGTGAGGGCGGGGCTTCTTTCCATCTCCAGTGTCTCCGCTGCCGGCAGTCATCGGCCTTTTCTGATCTGTGACTGGAAACAAAGAGGGTGTCACTGCTGGCTGTAATCAGTGCAGTGAAAGAAAAGGATCCTTTAAATACTGTGTTTGTTTTAAAGGCCCAGTGTGTGGGATTCAGTGGCATCTAGTGGTGTAGCTCCCTCAGGAGAAACTACAGTAGCCACAAAACACGCGAAAAACACATACGCCCATATCTAGAGTGTGTTTGGTTTGTCCCTTCAAGGCTACTGTAGAAACATGGTGGTTCAACATTGCAGCATGGAAAACGACTCGCTCTCTGTGGGTAAAAACAGCTCATTGTAGGAAGGATCAGTAGGAAATCTAAACTTTTTCCAGCACTAGGTCTGACTGTAGTACCACTTGTCTATGGCTGAGCATCCCATGAACTTAGTTTTTCCCTATAGCTCAATACATGTTAGATTCATTCATGAAGGAATATACTTGAATACTATGAATAAAGTATAAGAAAATAATTCAGCAGAAGTTTAGTTAAAACACACCAACCTTTTCTTCAGGGCCACAAGGATACAGGGTATCAACTGTACTACTAGAACTAAATTTCAAACTGGTGCTATCTGAATCTGAAACCAGCAGAGGACCAGCAGCTGAAGAAACAGTATTTTTCGTAATAAGGAAGTGGGTTAATATTGCACAAGCTTGTCATGAAGTCATATGAAGTGTTGTAATGATCAACTTTCCCTCAAACAGCCTTGCATTCTCCTACTGAGCCTCAGTTGGTGATTTCTCCTTTTTCCCAGAATGCTTATCAAAAATCCCCATGAATACAGGCTTGTGCTCCAGTATGTCCGGAGCTTGGCAGCACATTATCAACAGTTCTTTAAGTGTCTTTTGAGTAAAAATATCCCACTTCGTGCCAGCACTCACCAGTTTCCACCTCAGGATCTTGATCCACTCGTCTGCCTCCACACCCGTCTTTGTACAAAGATAAAATGTTCGCTCCGGAAACACCAGGCTGTGGACACACAAAGATATGGACAGTTATTGAGAAAGGAAGGATGAGTTCCCTATGCATCACAGTATATTATCTAGTCATGTGTATCCAAACTAAAACCATGATATTTGCTTTGTCATTTGCCTTTTGAGAACTTGGAAGAAGACGCTCTCAACTAGAAAGAGAGTCCTCTTCCCAGCAGCTGCAATTATTTTGTCTCAGTGTAATTCAATTTTGTAAGTGAGTTTAATTACAGGTATCATTGGGAATGTATGAACACTTTTCATTTCACCCACTAAAAATATAGCTTAATGTTTGATACAACCATAGGAATAAACAAAACAACATTTTTTAAATTTATATTAAGATACACAGATTCCCAATTAATTTGTTGTCTATTAGCATATTCTACAAGTAGGCCATTAGAGCTGAGTTTATCCTCATTAGTAAGTAAGGAGATTGTTGTACATTAATTAAGATCTTAATATACTTTGCTCAGTATGGGTCTTTGATTCTTGACTCATTCTTCATTGTCCTCAGTGGAGGAAATTTGTTTTCACAGTCTGTACAAAGAGCACCTTCGACATGAATTCTACACACAAACTACACATAGTACACATATACAGACAATATACACATATCTACACATATAACACGGGAGTGACATCGTAACTGTGTTGTCGCAGCAGAGCATGCGCCAGGAAGCGCATCAGCTTATATGGTCTTATGTTCTTATGTAACAAAACACAAAACTACGTGTTAATAGTGTCCTAATAATTATGAATTAAGTCTGTAGCAGAATATGTTCTCCATTCTAAAGTGAGCTCTTGTTCAGAACTAAGCAAGACTTAAAATAATGTAAAAAATAAGATAAGAATAGACCATAAGTGTTATCAAGGAGAATTCATGGACAACAACTTCCTTACTTACTATCAATAAGCAGTAATTAGGAGGTTGTTGAGAGTAAACTCAACTCTAATGTCCTACTGGTTGTAGAATATGCTCATGCAGAATAAGGCATTAATAAATACTTTATTATGACTAATAAAGAGTCAATATGCTACTAATATGCATGCTAATAGGCAACTAATTGCATTCACTCCAGAGGAAGCCTTTCTTTTAAATTTATGTTGTACTTGGGCACTTAAGAAGACGAGGAGAAGGACAATCAGCACCTCCTGTTTGGACTGATAAGTGTGCAGCACTTGGCATTGTGTAAAAGGTGAAGGGTGGTCAGTGGTTGCAACCTCTGTATAAAGCCACTGCTGCCCTTCAGTTCATGTGCACTTTTTCTTCCCTCCCCCTCTCTCCTTCTCTTATCGAACTGCTTGGACTTCCCCTTTTTCAAACAACACAAATGTCAGATTTTGCTTGCATGGGGAAGTAGAACCATGGCCTCAGACTGCAGTGCTGTGACTGATCTCGTCTGCTTTTTCTTTATATTGTTAATAAAGGGCTCCAGCTAACAATTTTTTTTATTGTTGATTAGTGTTCATTATTTTAAGGGTTGATCAAATAAATCATTTGGTCTATAAAATGTCAGATAATAGTAGAAAAAGCCCATCACAATTTACAAAAGCCTGAGCTGACTTATTGAAATGTCTTGCTTTGTTCAACCAACAGCCCAACCATTTTTTGGATGAACACAGACACACAGGTGGTTGATTTATAATTTCCAAGTTACGTTATTGATGCAAAATGAATCATCCTCTCAGCGCAGATCACTGACTGACCATCACTTACCAGAAACAGTTGACTCTGTCCTGAGAGTAGTCAAACTGGACTGCAGAGCAGGCTCTCAGATCCAGGGTTCGAATGGGCTCCTCGCACTGCAATAGAGACACTACAGTTTACACACCACAAGCTCAGACCCTCTTGTTTTTCTGGTGTGACTAGAAGCATCTGAAACTTAACTGCTCTATCTTCATACTATGATTGTGTGAAGTTGTGAAAACTGCCAGTTTAGCACACAAACCGAGGAGAGACCCACCATTTTGTCTTTGAAGTACTTGAGTTCGTATCTGTTGAGCGTGAACCACCTCTGTTTCCAGTTCTGCAAAACATATTTACATTTAGAATGTGTTTTAAATATCACCTCAGTGTTCAAACAAGATTTTCAGCTGAAAAAGCTTCCTGGTAACAGTGAATTTATGTGAGGTCTAACTCCCCTACAGTTCCACCACTCTTACCTTCACAATTGCTCCTTGTTTCACCAGATAGCCTTCCTTTGTACCCAGCTGAAAAGACATGTGTTGTTTTAGTAGACACATTATTCTACAGTGAGCCCCACATAGATCTTGGCCAAAGTAATCTTAACTCAAGGTCTAGTTACAAGGTTGTTTGGAGCTTTCAGCAACATCTCACGGTTCTTCATCAGTGAAGTTGCTGGCTCAGTTATTTTAGTTTAGTCAGTATGGAACTCAAAAACTGGTTAGATGTTCCATCAGTTCAGACTTGTAAGATGCCCAGTGGGATGTCTGGTGGTCCCTCATGAGTTAACTGTGTCATCTTTCAACCAGGGTGGGATTCTTATCGTGGCAAAGAGTGCCCACCTGACACATGTGCTCTGTGTAGGACGGTCCTCACCACTAATTGTTATGCTTTTTGTGGTTAAAGTGCCATAAGAGAGGGTTTCCTGTACAATGTGGTCCTTATGTTACTGTCAGCCTTCTCATAAACACAGGTGCCACTCTCTTCCTGTTTACCACGAAATGTGGCTTGAGGTTACTGATGAGGTTGGTGAAGCTGCCAACACTGGAGCAGTGCAGTTTGAAGAAAGTGTTACAGCAATCTGTTTAAAATGTTCCATCTACAGTGGGGTAAATGTGTGACCCCATGGTTGTTCCTTCAGCCTTTGTACAAGAAACAAGCTATATTAAGAAATAACTCCAACTGAGCCAACAACTTCATTTGATGGTGAAGACTGAGAAAAGTGGTTGAAAGCTAGGATCCAGCTTAGGATGCCCTAGTAGCCAAATGGTTAAAGGGACAGTTTCTCTTGTCTATCTGCTGTAGATTGTTTTGGTGTGAGTCACAGACCGCGGAACGCATGTCAAATTGTGGCAAAGAAGTGCAGCAGCAGGCTGGCAGCATTTGCATGGGAAAAGTTAAATTCACATCAAATGACACAATCAGCCAATACATGTGTGGATAACAGAATGTATTGCTTTGTCATAGGCTGTAGGTGACAGTATGATTTATGTGCTACCATAGAGTGTATGGTAGAAGAAAGAGTCAAACAAAGAATTTTAATCTGGCCCTACTGGCCCTACCAGTTCTGTGGTCCTTGACGTGAGTCGCTGAGTTTTGGAGATACCAGCTGTCTGCCTCTCTAATATAATAGAACCAAATGGCACTCAGCTTGTTGTGCTCGAAGTGCCAAAAGACTACATTTAAAATACTCAACAGCAATGCCTTTCTAGAAATCGACTATTCCATGAGAAGATGCACATTTCCTTCTGTGCAGTGATACATAGAAAGACAACAGAATAGAGCATGAAACTGCTCAAAAGGTCTGTGGATTATCTTGAGCAACCGGGTCATGCTTTGAGCACCACAAGCTGAGTGCCATCTCGTTCTATCATATTGGAGAGAAAACTTGGTAACTTACACCAAAACCATCTGAATGGATAAATAGCACTGCAGGTAAGAGGAAAAGTATGTATAGATGGATAGATAGAACAGTAGAACTGTTCATTTACCTGTAGCTGATGGCTGCATACATGATATAATTAATAAATAAATAAATATATATATTCCTCCGATATCGAGATTTGCTCTTACTAGAGCGCCATGCACAATCAACATGTGGAGAAATCCAAACTTGACAGGCCTGTCGTGCCTAATTAACAGTTTTTATGCAATTGGACAATTGCTGTTAAGTGGTGGGGTTTAGCAAACAATCAGTTACACTGGTGAGTACAACATTTACTTAACTGTTAGAAATTATGGCCAAAAACTATAAATATAATACCCATGCTCTAATAATATAGAATTATCTTTTAATGCTGATTTGCAAAGAAAGTTGAATTTGAACCTCCTGTAAGTTGCTTTGATCATTTCACATCACATGTCACATCACAAAGGTACTATTAATCATCAGCTGCTCGCAGGTGTCTGCAGGAGGTGTCATACCGATGGGGCATTCGGCACCAGATCATTCTCCGTGCGGCCCGTCTGTATGGCTGTGTGAACTCGCACAGACTCGTAGATGGACGGCTCTTCCACACGCCACGGGTACGGACACTTGAGCACAATGAGGGTTCCTGGTTGAAAGGCAGAAGGGCGGTTACAGACTAAGAAAATACAACACAAAGGACATGTGGGACTTTTTTCTTGTTGAATTAGAAAATGTGGAGTGGAGATCTTATAACAATGCTGGGAAGTGTTGTAATGTTTCATGCACGTTATGTCGTGTGTGTGCTATGCAACAGGGGGAAAAGGTGTGTAGCAATCCTGTAATGCCTCAGCCTGACAGCTGGCCACCAGCATGCACTGTGGATTATTCCTGATTAACCTGAAATCTTGTTGTTGTTGTTGTTGTTTTTAACCAAAGACTTATCTCTGAGTTTTATAATATCTTCCTTTCTATTAAATAAAGAAAATAAAAAACATTTCTATTTGTTCCATTTACAAGAATATTGGGCATTTGCTAGTTTGTGTGAGGTGCTGTACATAATAGAGTAAAGAATAGACATCTTTTTCATTCCTCATTAGATATTGAAATAAATCAGGAAAATAAAAGTCAGTAAACTAAGTTAATAAGTCAGCTTCTAAGTGTGCCCTGCCTCTAGGGCAGTGATTGCCAACCAGGGGTACTTGTAACCCAGGCAGTACTGTTGCTGCTGCCAGTGGGTACATAGAGAGATTGTTATTATAGTACAATCAACAGTGCCTATTGTGATGTCCCCCATGCTCAAGTCCATCCGATCCCTGCATACAGGAAGATATTAAAGCTCTGTAATCCAGTTGTGAAGACATCAAAAAACAACAACAGTGAAGCTATGGAGGATCTCTGTGCGTGCTCGGACTGTACCAACAGGACTTCTTCCAACAGTCTGGACGAGTACACAGGCTGTGACATCATATATCAGCTTCTGTGAGGACTGCTGTATTCCATCACGCACCAGGGTGAGTTACAACAATGACAAACCCTGGTTCACAGTTTAACTCAGATAGCTTAACTAGATAGCTACGACTGCAAAAGCAAGTAGTGTTCAGGAGTGGGAACAGAAACAGGTCAGAAGCGTCAAAAGCAGGTTTAGCAAGGCAAAAGTTCAACAGCAAATGACACTGCTTCTATCTGGAGGGGTCTCGGACAGATCACCAACAACTATAAACATAAAGCCCTCCACTCTGACTTCTACTTGACTTCGATGACTTGTGCCTGTCCAGAGACGGCTATGTTTTTGTTGACATTTTTCTAACCTACTGAAAACCTACTGATATAGGCATTAAACCTGATTCTGACTCTGACTGGGAGAACAACCTACTTGTTAACGTCAGCAAATCCAAGGAGCCCTTCAAAAACAACAGAAAGGCTGTGAGTGACCTGAAAACTGAGCTCGGGTCTTTGCAACTCATAGAGATACCGTATCTACTATTCTCTATTTTTATTATCTATTTTCTCTCACTTTGAATACTGTAACTATCTTTACCATGGGCTCAATCTCTTGCCTGCAGCTCATTCAAAATGCTGCCCCTAGGCTTTAAGAAATCACATCACTCCCATTCTTGCATCTTTGCACAGGCTCCTAATTTCAAACAACTTCCTGTTTATATCTGAGCCTTACCTACATTTGTAAGACAAACTTGTGCTGGACAAGTTATTTCTAGTATAACCACAAAGAGGCTGAAAGAAGCTGTCACATTTGTTGTGAAATCACTGAACCAGAAAGACAGCCAACAGTGCAATCTGTTGTTTTACTGTATGAGCTGGTAACATGCAGCATGCTTGTTGGTGAAGATCTGAAGTGCATACCTGTGTCACTGCCCAGCAGAGGCTGGTTGGCAAAGTGGTTGACAAAGTCATGAAGGGTTGCAAACTCGTTAAACCCAAACGCGTAGCCGTTGTCTTTGCGTGTCACGTGAAAATGTTTGACGGAATCCTTTGCCCTGTGAATGACAACATTCAATGTTGCACTTTCAATGTTGTTCACATTATACAGTGACAGAATGAAACTTAAAAGACGATACCAAATGTTGTATTGTTTCTTATCTTGGTTTTTAATTAGTGCCGATACAATACATGAGTTTTGGAACCAACACCACTCAACAACATTACTCTTTTTCATTCAACAAAAAAAGTCAAGGTTTGCTTTAAATGTTTTACATCCATGCTGCCATGTATGGCTCTTAACTCTTCCTTAATAAAATTCAGTCAAACGATTTAACTTTAAATTATTTGATCAAACAATCAATGAACAAGTAGGCCTGTGGAGATTTGTTATTAATTGTTAAAATAATAATAATTATTAATTATTAAAAATGTCAGAAAATGGTGATTGGTGTTTGACAAAGAAATTGGACTTTTCTTCTTAAAAATGACTAAAAAAAAAACTAACTAACCGATCAATACTTGGTGCAACATACAAATATTGGTCTGTACAAATAAGGTACTATAGAGAGCCTTACATTAAGGTAACTCACTTAGGCATCTGTTGAACTGCATTAAACTAGGTCCACCATTAAGTTTTAACAACAGTGATCTACTGTGACAAGAGATGTTCATGGTGTCACCATTTATCAGTTAAATTGACCAAAATCAGTGTGTATTTCTTCCATTTAGAAAGACGGTGTTATAGACTGACCTGACAGACAGGGCGAAGCAGCCTGGTCCCTCATTACTGTTCCTCAGCAGATAACTTCCATCAGTCCCATTGGACAAGAGAAGGGCCTCTGCAGCATGGCGGGACAGGTCATAGTGGTACCACCTTCACCAAAAAGAAGAAATAAGCAGTAACTCAATACTGTATCTATTACAATTCTTGTGGGAAATAGAGATTAATCTAAATTGCCATCTTCAGGGAAAACATGATAGAGAAGACTTCATGTCGAGAGATGTACAGTATAATGGCTGTTTCAAAGCTTTTGGTGCTCTGTATGGAACCCACACAGGTCCACATCAATCACTAGAACACTGAGAAGAGACATGCAGCACCTGGATGCTATTTGTAGGTTTGTCAGGCCGCTGCCTGAAACAGTACTGAAGAACAGACCTTATAGAGGTTTTCAGAGGAAATGGGGATGGTTTTTGCAGATAAACAAACCTCAAACTGTAAGACAGATGCAAAGGAAACTAATAGGAGGATGTGAAACTTGATTATTTGCATTAAGAGTTGCTGATAATACATTAAGAAATATTGATGTTCATAGCTCAAGAGAAGCGCAATATACAAAGGAAAATGGCAGTAAATGTGACATTTCAGTCCATGTTTCAAAATCAGCTACAGGTTTATCAGCTCACACCGCCTGGAGCCTGAACATGGGGAGCTGTGTCACCCTTTGGACCCCAGGCTGAAGTGTTTCTGTGCGTTTGCTGGGTTATGAAGCTCTCATAGAAAACTATTGTTAGACTACTGTTAGACATTCTCACCGCTGATTCAAGTCAGTAATGCATAACTATGTAACCAGACCTGCCATAAATTCATATTTAGTAGCAGTTATTATCTAAAAAGATCTGCACCCTAGTTTTATAATGTGACCCAGGTTTAAAGTATACTTACGAGCACTGTGTATTTGCAAGAATCTGGCGATTCGATTCTTATCACAATACAGGAGTTATGATTCAATATATTCAGTTATATTGTGATACTGTAACCAAGGCGATATATTGTAATTGTAAAGAAAAATCTACTTTTTTTATGCAACCAGACCAGTGAGATCTGTATTTAGATACAGTGTTTTTGAGAATCCATACAATATCACAAACTGACTGACTGACGTAAACTGACTTAGTGATTCATTTTATAGATATTTCATACTATATTCAATGTATAACAGTAACAGTACAGAGCAACTGATAAACTGTACAAT